TTCTTAGGATCTGCCGGGGTATGTCCTTAATGAAAATTAAGGTCCCAAGGCTATAAGTCATGAGTCAGACCCCGACCAAGGTGGCTCAGAACCAATCCTGCAAGATTTTCTAATCTGCATAGTATACACAACCCCAATTCTGCTCGCTTTTGTACTTCTCTAGTCCTGCTTGTGATAGTGAAGGGGTAATCTGCTCCCACTTAGGATTTTATGAAGATTTATTTTTTGTCTTCTACATTCTCTGGTAGCGTAGTGGTTACGAATCGGGCTGTGAGCCGTAAGGTCAGCAGTTCGAAACTACCAGCTGTTCTGTGGGAGAAAGATGAGGCTTTCTGCTCCCATAAAGATTTCCAGCCTCGGAAACCCTGTACAGGGTCACTATGAGTCAGAACCAACAGCACACAACAACAACAACAACATTCCATAAGTGGCGCTGCGGGTTAATGTGCGGGACTGCAAGATCGGTCTGAATCACAAGGTCAACAGACCAAGCTCACCAGCTGCTCTTCAGAAACCCTATACAAGGTCTACAGGCTAGAACTGACTCAACAACACTTAACGACAGTTCCATAAGCACTGCTGCTAACTGCATGCAAATCTGGTGGTGCAAGCCCACCTGCCACTTTTTGGAAATCCTATATTGGGTCGCTATGAGTTGAAACCAACTTGATGGCACTTTAACAACAACATTCTCTAGAATTACCAACATGACCATGACTCCTTTGGACAACATTAAAGCCTCATGCTGATGGTGGTCACCCTCATCCACAGGATTTGTCTTTGTTATATCCTTGCCCTGTTTAACTAGGGACAGACCAAAATTATGCATATGCAAGTTGAGGCTAAAACTGAAGAAAATTAAAACAAACCCATGAAAGCCAAAGTATAACCTTAAGAACACCCCACCTGAATTAGAGGCCAAGTCAAGCAAAGATGTGATGTATTAGACACTAGTGACCAAACAAGCTGTGGGATGACATCAAGAATATCACCCATAAAGAAAGCAGAAGGTTATTAAAATTGTTGTTGTTAGATGCCATTGAATCAGTACCAACTCACAGTGACCCACCCACACCAGAATGAAACAATGCCTGCTCCACGCCAACCTCACAATCGTTTCCATGTTTGAGACCACTGCTGCAGCCGCTGTGCCAAATCATTTTGTTGGACGTCTTCCTCTTTTTTATGTGAACCTCCACTTTACCAATCACAATATCGGTCTATGTGGACTGGTCCTGCCTGATATATCCAAAGTACTACAGACAAAGTCTGCCCATCCTGAGTTTCAAGAAGCATTCTGGCTGCACTTTTTCCTACACAGATCTGTTTCTTCTTTTAGCAGTCTGTGGTACTTTTAATATTCTCCTGAACACCATAACTCAAATGCATAAATTCTTCTATGGTCTTCCTTATTCACTGTCCAGCTTTCACATGCACATGAGGTTACTGAAAATACCATGGCTTAGGTCAGACACACATTACTCCTTACACTGACATCTTTCCTCTTAAACACTTTAAAGAGGACTCATAGCCAATTTGCTTAATGCAATACGTCGTCTGATTTCTTGACTGTTGCTTCTATTAAGTGTTGATGGTTGATCCATGCAAAATGAAATCTTTAACAACTTCAATCTTTTCTCCATTTATATAGATTTTTCTACTGGTCCAGTGGTGAGGATTCCCCCTCCCCCCCATTTTTCTTCATATAACTCAGCTTCTTGGATTATTTGCAAAAACCACAGATTGAATGAATATGGCAAAAAAAGTACAACCCTGGTGCACACCTTTCCTAATTTTAAGCCATTCAGTGTTCCCTTGTTCTGTTCAAACAACTGCTTCTTGGTCTAGGTAAGTGTTCCAGAATATTCATTCTCTGCTATGTTGTCCATAGCTTGTCATGATCCACACAATTGAAAGACTTTACATAGTCAATAAAGCACAAGTAAACATAGTGTAGTGGCTGGTAACCTCAAGGTCAGCAGTTCAAAACTACCAGCTGTTCCCACAGGAGAAAGATGAGGCTTTCTGCTCCCATGAAGACTTATAGCCTCGGAAACCCTATGCAGGGTCGCTATGAGTTGAAAACAACTCCCCTGCACACCATCACTAAACATCTTCCTGAAATCTCTGCTTTCAACCAAGATCCACCAGGCATCAGTACTGATATACCTCATTCCATATCCTTTTCTGAATCTGGTTTGAACCTCTGCAAGTTCTCTGTAAATGTATGATTGCAGCCATTTTTGTATTAATCTTTAACAAAAATTTACTTGCATGGCATATTAATGATATTGTCTGATGATTTCCACATTCCGTTGGGTTACTTCTCTTTGGAATGGGCACAAATACTCTTCTACTCAGTTGTCTTCCAAATTTCTTGGCATAGATGAGTGTGAGTGCCTCCAGTGTTTAGGTCAGTGTGGCTTCCAACCGTGTCTTTGCCTTCTCTCATGGACAATTAAAAAAAGAAAAATGATTTTAGCTTATTACTACAATTGCAAAAAATATAAGCAAACATACACCTAGCCACTCTACCACTCTATCTCGGAAATCACAAACATACTACACGCACTTTTCTTCACTTATGAAACACACACACTGTTGTTTAGTGCTGCAAGTCGGTTCCGATCCACAGCAATCCTGTATAGTGTTTCCGAGGAGCAACTGGTATGAGCTTGAACCGCCGACCGTGCAGTTCAAACCGACCTTGCAGTCCAGTGCATTAACCCGCAGTGCCATGCCAGGACTCTCTACACATACATTGGATATCACTTCTTAGCAGGATAGTGAGCTATTCAAGCTTTCCCTTTTATTTCCATTTGCTCTGACTTCGTCCATACATTATTTATCTAATAGCTTTACTGAGTTATAACCTGTTGACAAGTGCCGTTGAGTAGGTTCCAATTCACAGTGACCCTGTATAGGGTTTCCAAGGAGCAGCTGGTGGATTTGAACCACCGACCTTGAGGTTTGCAGCCTAGCGCTTATCCTATAGTGACACACCAGGAGTTATAACTTAAACACCATAAAATTCACTCATTTTAAAGCTACAATTCAATAACCATTTGAAAATTTACAGAACAGTGTAAACATCACCACAATCTGATTTTAGAACATCTCCACCATTCCAAAAAAAGATCCCTTGTGCCCATCATCCTTTCATTCTTAACCTTTTTGTATCTTTCTTTGAGATGCCTCTTGAATAAAGCACAATGTTAGAATTTACTCTGAAGTCTTTTTCTTCTTATAGATGAATTATATCCACTTATATTTAATGAAAAGATTATGATTGATAGTTGGCCTTAGTTCTATTGTCATTTTATGTCATATTACTTCTATATCATCTATATGTTGTTGTTAAGTGCCATGGAGTCAGTTCCAACTCACTGCGACCCTGTACAGGGTTTCCGAGGCTGTAAATCTTTATGGGAGCAGAAAGCCTCATCTTTCTCCCATGCAACAGCTGGTAGTTTCGAACTGCTGACCTTGTGGTTTGCAGCACGATTCGCAACCACTACGCTACCACATGTGCATAAAATATGCAATCTTTAGTTATATGAACTATTTAATAATAATCCCCGCCTTTATTCTTTGTGTATCTTGTGGTAATTTTAATGGTTACCTTTGTGAATATACTTTAACACCATAATATCATTAGCATTTTTGGGGGGATAATGTCAATATAAACAATTTTGAAATTAGCTAGTAGCATATATCCCTATCTTCCTTTCCCCCAAAGCATCTAACATGATCTATTATTACGCCTTCATGTTCTGATTATAGCTATAGGACAGTAAGTAAGTGTATTCTATTTTACTTGTTTAATTCACTTTCCCATTTTCAGAGTTGTGCTTTAGCTTCACTGTTACACTCATCACTATGTAACATATTTTACTGTCTCTTTTCTCCATCATGTAGCACCAGTTCTCCTCAGTAGCTTTCGTTTGCCTTAGAATAAGTGACATTTTATTGCAAGGGAGCTCTGGTTAGTTTGAGAACTCATAGGACCCAGCACTAACAGTGCAACTTTTCTGGAGTCTACAAAGCCAGTTCCAGCAGCTCTCAAACTGGTCTGTGGACCTTTCCACAACTAATGAGGAGAGTACTGGCTGACGATTTGATATTTGGGTTTTGTAAGTCTTCCCTCTGCTTCTTGCCACACAGTTATTAACACCATTCCGGTCTTGATGCGGTTGCTGATTTGATTCTAACCAATTTAGTTCATGTTTCTTACGTCTCTCTTTTAAAAGCCATTTTCTTTTTTTATGTGTAGTAAATATATAGGTAAGAAAACATTTGTTTGCCATTTCACCAATCTTCACCTGTATAGTTCAGAGATAATATATGTCATGCTGCTGTACCACCACCATGTCCAGGGTTTTGCTATGCTGGTGGTTAATATGTTATCCTTGTTGCTCTTCTCTTTTCACAAAGGATTTGAGAAGATAAAAAAAACGGTGTCACTGTTACTACCATTTGGCTGCCAGCTATTCTTGAAGTTTTAAGTTAATTTAGTATATCCCATTTCCCCCCACAGATTTTAGTGTTTACCATTATTTCACATATATTCACAGAAGATTAAATCACCTAAGTTACATGCTAAGGCTAATCTTAAAGGTGCTAAGTAGAATCATCCGCAATGTACTCTATGGGGTATACAAACTATAACACTATTAGTTGCTACTTGGTAATAGAAATGACTACAATCAGTGTGGATTAAGGAAGCAGACAATGGACTCTTGTTTTCATCAGCTGTATCAGATACTCTGGTTGCTCTTCCTTTATCATTACCACCCACCCTCTGATTAAACAGGATGAAATGCACAGTACAAAGAGGCTGGGTTTGAGTATTCTTTCCCATCAGAAGATGAATTACATTTGTATACCAAATAGCACACAACAACAAACTACATATTTAAAGTGATGAGACATAATATACACTATCAAATTGGTCTGAGGCTAGAATACCAAAATATAAAAATAAATGGAAAAAATCATACCTCTGTGACACGTAGTTGTGAAGATGCAGCCATGTAATCGGACTCTAGTTTGTTTTTCTCAGAGATAACTGTAGTATTTTGAAGAATTAAATCTACTTTTTGTATATGTAAAGAAGAACAAATCTAGGAACAAAACCCCCAAGAGTTCAGTTTTTATGCCACCTGGTTTAGAACTAAGAAAAGTCATCTTTTTTTAAATGAAATTATGAAACAAAAGAAACAGCATTTTTCTAATGTGACTGATACCTCCCTTAAATTGTTCTTTGAATAACTATCTCATATAAGAGAATTTTTTAGAAAGTGTTTTGCTGTATATGGAGTTTTCTGGAAAAAAATAACTTAGTCTAATGAGTGCTTTTTAACTTATTTATTAACCTATAAAGGTATATGTCAAGTAATGAAGCAAATCGAAACTGTTGATAAAAATCTCTTGCTTATATAAGTAAAATATCAAAAACCCTAGTCGAAACCATCCTTCCCCCCTGAACAAAGCTCTCTAAAGGTTTTACTATTGTCTAATTCACCTTCTATTAAATAAAAAAATTTTAAATGCCTCACCTTTACTAGGTTTGTTAATTCAGTAACAAGTTTTGCTTTTTGGACATTTATTTCTTTGATTTTGGTACTTGCTTTTCTTTCTTCCTCTTCAAGGTTGCAAGCATCCTGTTCCATCAATTTTAAACTGTATGAAACACAAAATGATTTGGAAATCAGCGTAAAACACAAAGAAATAGCCAAAATCCTTAGGCCACTTGTAGCTTTATGGGCTATTTAGTAATACTACTAGGATATACAAAGGCTAGCTCCAACATTAAGCAATTATTCTATACATTCACCAGTACTATCTATTGAGCTATACTATGTGCTCAGTACATTCTTGGTAATGCTAGTACTAATGGTATAGCATCCAGAATTAGAAAGATGTATCTGAATTCTCTTTTTGCCACTAGAACAAATAGTGTACTCTGGACAAGTTACTCTTTTTAGCTTCTGTTTCTTCATCTGTACGTTGATTCATATAGTTCTTCCCCCAGAAGGCTGTGGTAAAGACTTAAAACGGTAATACACATAACACCCTTAGAACAGTACCTGGATGATAGCTAATTGATAAATATTAGCTGCAACTATTGTTATGATAGTCCTGGTGTGGCGCAATAGGAAAAGTACTTGACCTTAAGGCTGGTTTGAACCGCAGGGTGGGCGGTTCAAACTCACCAACTGCTCCTCAGAGACCCTATACAGGGTTGGTATGAGTCAGAACCAACTTGACAGTACTTAACAACACCTGTTGTTATAAGGAGATCTGGTAGCACAGTGGGTCAGCAGTTCAAATCTACAAGCCTCTGGAGGGAAAAAGATGAGCTTTCTGCTCCCATCAAGATTTACAGCTTCTCCTATCAAGTGGTAGATGTCTGGCACTAAAGTCTCATTCCAGTACCCCATGTTGCCTTCAAGGAAAAACCAAGAACCAAGGAGGCAACCAATTAAATAAGAATGAACAGGTTCAGTGGATCTTATAAAGAATGAACTTACTGGGATGTGCAAAACAGTGTTGGGGAGGGAAAAGGAAATAAGTAGGAATGAGCAAAGATTTTGAAAGTCAATCTAAGGGAGTTGTTGTTGTTAAGTTAGTACAGGGTTTCCAAGAGGTGGCTGGTGAGTTTGATCTGCCAACCTTACAGTAACAGTCCAGGGCTGATCCTATAGCACCATACCAGGACTCTGGTCTAAGACGAGATGTGTTGAATTCAATTTCATGTACTAACAGTATGAAATCACAGCAGATATTCTTGAATGGAGGAGGACTATGAAAAGCACAAAAACTTAGTAACAGCATCCTGGGTAAAGGACTAGGTTAAGGAGAGACTACTAGTAGGTCTCCACTGCAGGATCCCAAAATGAATAACTGAAGAGAGAAGGCAGGGGGGCTCGAAATGGGTATACAAGATCATTTCACTATAAGAAATCAACAACACTTTACAAATCCCTCAGTAGAGGGGGTAAGAGACAGAAAGCAAACAACAGAAGACTCCAAGAACCTATGAGAGCAAGTTATAAAGTAGTGCTACAAAACCACAGAAATGGTCATAATGCCGAAGTATCGAAATGCAAAACGTTTCTTGACTCATCCTCCATCTAGGTCTACATAATTCTGAAGATTTGCACTCTTTGATTTACACATTAATGAGTCAGTTTTGACAGCCTCCAGGGACTCAACTCAAATTGTGTTCCTTTGAAATGCTGAGTTTTGGGAACAAAAAAAGTCTGAAAGGGCAAGATCAGGGCTGCAGGGTGGGTGGGGTAAAGTTTCTCAACAAAGTTCTCATGTGACCTCCCTTGATACCAACTAAGAATGAGCAGGTACGTTATCATAACGGGGGAAAAATTCTTCGGTGAAACTTTCCTGGCCCTTTCTCACCCATGTAGTTTTTAGTTTTCTTAAAACTTTTCCCAAATAAGATCCTATGACTGCCTTGTGTCCTCTGAGAAAATTTATCAAGATTGTTGTTGTTAAGTGCTGTCGAGTTGGTTGTCTCAGTGACCCTGCATAGGGTTTCTGAGGAGCAGCTGGTGAGCTTTAACCACCGACCTTGCAGTCCAAACTGACGAGGATTACCCCTTTACAGTCCCAGAAAGTCTCTCTAACCTTCTGATCTCTCTGCTTGAATTTAAATGGCCTGGTGTGGCACTGGACAGGGTTAATGCATTGGACTGCAAGGTTGGTTTGAACCACAGTATCAGCAGTTGAACCTCACCAGCAGCTCCTTGGAAACCCTATACAGGGTCACTATGAGTTGGAACCGACACGATGGCACTTAACAACAACATGTGGAGTCTCGGTATGGTACTTTAGGATAAGCACTGGACCACAAGGTTGGTCTGAATCGCAAGGTCAAGCAGTTGAAACTCACCAGCTGCTCCCTGGAAAATCCTACACAGAATCGCTAAGAGTCAGAATTGACTAGATGGCACTTAACAACAATCAGATTTCCTCAGAAGCTAGTTTTGACTAGACCTTGGTCTCTGAAATGTGCCGGCCAATCCAAGGTTCATAAATGGTTATGATCTGTCCCATAAAATAGTCTTCAGTAGCTTCGATCTTGCTTAAAAACTGATGGAAAGATCAGCTCATCTTTGTGTAATACTTTTGGCACACATCAAGCAGAAAACTTGCTGCGGACTAGATGCTCACATAAAAGTGAAACTGCCAAACCATGTGAGATCCCAACTTCAGTAGCTATCGCGTCAATGGAAACGCTGTGACCTTCCGCCAGTTTCCGAACTTCAGTCAGTTTCTTCATTTACTGAGGCTGATGGTCACCTCTTTCTTGGCATATCTTTGAGGTCTTCCTGACCTTTCTCCAAATACTTGATCTATCTAAAAACTGTTGTTTTATGTAGGGCAGCATTCCTGCAAACTTTATGCAAATCTTCAATGTTTCAGAAGATGTCCACTTGAGTTATCTTAAAAATTTATTAACTCTGATCTCAAAATCACTTTTTTCCCATGGCATAAAAAATATCCCTTTAAAAAAAATGTATCTTTTTTTCAAAGGGCGCCCTAATGGGACTAAGACACATGTATTACCGAGAGAACTTATTTGCAACCATCTGCTGATCTCTGGGATATATTTAAATACATTTTATTTGGAATAAACCTTTGCATGTATATAAACTAGAATTCATACACGTAGGTATTGTTTTTAAAACGTATTCTTGGACAATAAAACAAATAAGGGCCAAAGAAACATATGTTTTCAGACATAATCAGTCACCTCTTGGGATTAGTTTTCTTGGTTTGAAGACTTAGGGTCATAATTCTCATGGTTCACTTTGGTCAACTAGCAAGATATAGTTCATTATGAAGTTTCTATTCTATATTCTATTTCAGAGAGTAGTAAATCTGGGGTCTTAAACCCTAAGACACAAGTATTGGTATTAGTATGGAACAGAGTAAGAAGGAAACTTAAGGCTCTGAGAAGGAACTAGTCTACAAAGGACCAACTCTTCAAGGCTATTCTTAAGAGACTGCTGATCAATGTGATTTTTTTCATGGGTCAAGAATTAAAAGATTTATGTGGCTTGATGAACCAGTATTTTCTAAATGATCAGCGCATGATATAACAAAACCATTTATGAGTACAAGACCCATTTACAATGTAATAGATTTTAATGTAACAGCAGGTTCCTGATTTCAGTTTTAGATTCACATAACATTTAACCTTTATAACTTTACAAGAAATCACACCTTGGAAGTTTTGAAGGAGTATTAAAGAACATCCACAATAATATAGAGAGGCTATTAAAATATTCCTTCCTTTTCTAACTATATTATCTGTGTGAGATTTGATTTGTTCATATATTCAACCCAAATAGCATCTCACAACAGACTAATGCATAAGCAGAGATGAGAATCCAGATGTCTTCACTTAAGTCAGATATTAACACCACTTTTTTTTAACACATACAAAGAGCTTCAAAATTTTTGTGGAAAAATTTCATTATCTTTAAATGCCATTTTCCCACAAACTTTTTGGAACCCACTCATAGTGGATTTATTATTATTTTAAAATCAACAATTTTTAATGTTTTCACTTTTAATTTCTAAAAGTGTACATATCAATAGCTATAACCCAAGTAAATCAAACTTCAGGGCCTCTAAGATGTTTTAAACATGTAAATGGGGCTAGGGCCCATCATCGCTGATCTCTGGAAAAGAAAAGTCAGAGCACTTAAGACTAACCTCCCACTGTCCTGGGGATTAAATTCTTTCTAAGTAGAAGGAAAATTCTTGAGAATAAGGATTATAAAATAAAATTGTGGGAACTGTGTTGTTATTCCAGGGATAAATATTCTCCACATACAATTCTTTGTACTCGTCCCCCAAACCAGCTAAAAGATACCTTTCCTTCTTGGAACTGATTTTTTGCTCCAGTTGTCTTTTCTTGGTTTTTCTTTCAAGAAGCTCCTTCTTCTTTTGTCTCAATTCATTGTCTTTGTGTTCTAGATGCCTGTTTGTCTCACGTAAGGCAATCAATCCTGAGTCTACTGCGTGCAACTTCCTATTAATTTCCTAGGGAAGATGTACATTGTTACTGTATTTCTAAAATTAGTTTCCTTGGAATATTATAAATCCAGTTCATACTATTTTCTAAAACTCAAAGTAAAATAACCAACCTTCAGCTGTTCTTCTAACTGCCTTCTTTGCTCAAGATCCACAGTGACTGTGAGAAATTGAGCTACTTTTAGGGATGTGTTACTAGAAATAGTTTTGTTTGAATAAAAGGATGTTTTCACCACATACTTTTCTTCTGCTGTGTAAATTTGTTTTAATCGGGTTTCTTGTATTACCTATAATGTGAAAGGGTAGTATTAGTACACATCCAATAATACTTACGATCTATGTCTTAAAGGATGAAGGAATTCAACACAACAGCAACAACAAAAAACAGCTCAAGTGAATTTTTTGAAGACTGAAACATACTAAATAAATACACTTGGTTTCCAGTACATTTTTTAAACTTACCCAACAACAACTCTATTATGCATGGTAACTAATACATTTCAGGTCATTATTTTAGAAAATAACATTAAGAGAAAATTATGGGGAAAACAAAGCAACTAGAAAAGTCTGGTATATCCCTCCCACTTTACTCTATAATCTCTTTCAAGTGGGTATACTTAGGAGTTTTGTTTTATCTAAGCCACATCAACAGCTGCATGCCCTAGAGATTCAACTGTGTTATCTCGGGTAAGTCATGCATGTTCTCTCCTTTCTCCTCAGCCAAACTGTTTAAAGATACATAATCTTATACTTAGCTCCTGGAAATCTGAGAGAAGACTTAATGGAAAAACTGTATTTTTAAAACAGCATTTCAAGAAAATTTCAGAATTGTTTTCCCCCTTGAGATCTTTTCTCTCAATAACATGTAAAAAGAATTTCAAAACCTAAACCAAATTCTAAAAACCATGAAATTATTCTATCAATTTCTCTACTTTCATAAAGAAAAATATACTGTGATAATAGATTTTTCTAATCACTATTTCCCTGTAGGATAAGCAGTGAACTCCAAACTGCAAAGTTGGTGGTTCAAAGTTGGTGCTTCTCTGCAGAAACCCTATACACGTTGCTATGAAGAGGAACTGATTTTACTGCACTGAAAAACAACAAAGTTTCATAACCAATATTATTCTGGATCATTCCTTTCCAGAGGTTTATAGTCTAAATAAAGGGATAAAACATATTTGTTATTATGGTTGTTAAATGCCACCACGTTAGATGGTGGGTTTGAACTGCCAACCTTGTGATTAGCAGTCCAGTTCTTATTCAACAGTGCCACACCAGGACTTCAAAAGATATTTAAACCCACCTAATTTAATAGGGTAAGGAGCTCTGGTAGCGTAGTGATTAAGAATCGGGCTGCGAACTGCAAGGTCAGCAGTTTGAAACTACCAGCTGCTCCGTGGGAGAAAGATGAGGCTTTCTGCTCCCGTAAAGATTAACAGCCTCGGAAACCCTGTGCAGGGTCGCTATGAGTCGGAACCGACTCCACGGCACATAACAACAACAACAACAATTTAATAGGGTATAAACTGGCATCCATAAACTCTAAATACTGTGGAATAAAGAGAACTGGATGAGGTATGTGAAATAATTTTAAGAAGGATCTTTAAGGAGAAGGATTACTATAATAGTTCTGCCACCCCAATCTACCCATTATATGGTAAAATTAGGAGGGCAATCTACAATATAAGAATTTATGATTAAACCTTAACAGAATGTATGAATATAGGTTTGTAAAAGAAATGCAGAATCAAGACTGTCAGGTGTCCCCTTGAGGATCTAACCTTACTCAATTAATCTACATGCATTGAGTATTTATTTACTTCTAGTTAACTACATCATTTTTAATGTCAAGTGTCAACCAGCAGTCACTGCCTTTCTCATTAAACTATACAAACATAATCTGTGCATGGTTCAAAACAAATCACTTATTTAAATTTGAAGACATTTCTGCTTGATTTTAGACTAAGAAGTGTTAATGAAATTCCATTTCTGGTAGTAATTCACTAATGTCTTACCCGCTCAATTCTTTCTCTGGTCCTTTCAGTTCCTACAGGAACCTCATGAATATGATACTGGCAACAAAGATAACTCATTACAGGGTCAGGTGCATCAAATAACTCTCGCAAGTAAGAGAAAAATCCATATTGCCTGGGAGAAAAAAAGCCCTTTTTAGAGTCTTCTTAAAATATTATTTAAAAATCTAATAGCCGACAAGTAAACAATAAAAAAATATATATATGGCTTAATGATAATACAAATTTAAAAAAATATTCTACAATCATTTAATACTTAATACTTTCTTCTAAGAAAAGTTTGTTTTATGAGTATAATCAATTAATCTGCTTTTCTGTTATTTCTTCCTTCTATTCTTCTTATTTTCAGAATGTTTATTTACATTCAGAGTTAAGATATTCATTTATATTATAGCAAACTGTTATTTATTCCTTCTAGAAATTAGTTTTGCACTGTAAGTGAAGACATACCATTTTATTTTCCTAATAGCTATCCACTATCTGAACATCTTTTAAAATAGTTCTATACTGCTCTAGTGATGGAAAACATCATCTTTGTCTCATACTACATACATCTATCCTGGTCTGTTTCTGTGTCTAGAATTTTTCGTATACAAGTAAACTGTAGTAGAAAGCCTATAAAGGAGTTAATAGTGCCTATAAGAAACATATATAAGTGAACCAGAGATCATTAAAATATGTTTAAGAAGTAAACAATTCCTTAGTAGGCATACTAGATCTCAATAGTCAAAGCAACAGGTTATTTCTAATAAGATCTCCAAGACTTACTTCAGTTCACTCAGAGACCTTGAAGGTTTTTTTTCTGCATAAGAACTACTTGGAGCAATAACAGCATTGACTCTTAATTTTTTATTGTCACGAACCTGAATATAGGGGAGAAATATTATTTTAATTATCATACAGAATCAATTGAAATTACTCTTCAAGTTACCATATTTGCACTGGCACTCTAGATTGATTACAAATCTAAACAAGGACTGGATATCTAATGATACTTAGGATCTTTTCTTTTAGGTATGATAATATTATCATTCTGTGACTTTAAGGAGTTCACTACTCATAGAGATACATACTCAAATATTCTCAGATAAATTAATATAACTAGGATTTATTTCAAAAGAACACAGAAGGGGTTAGTTCTGTCTTCACTGTTGTTACTAGGTGCTGTCAAGTAGGTTAAAACTCATGGTGACTCTTTCTATGTTTTCTGAGGCTACAGATCTTTACAGGAGCAGAAAGCCTCGTCTTTCTCCCATGAAGCTGTCTGTAGGTTTGAAATGCAGACCCTGTGGTCAGTAGTCCAGTACTTATTCTACAGCTCTACCAGCACTCCTTCTGTTTTGACTACTAATAGACTGTCTTGTCTTTTTAAATAATCACTATAAATTCAGGATACAAATTTAAACAGCAATTATGTGAAGACACTGTAGATGGACTACAGACAGAAGTTAGAGAAAAGTTGACATATGAAAGAGGGAAAGAACAGCAGGTGTGACCTATACCTATGTGGCTAGCAACCTAAGGGAATTCCCCAATCTGGAGCACTGGGGTGGGGAATTTAAGCAAAAAGTGGTGTAAGCGACTGCTTCAACCAATCACACACAAGGAGTTTGGGGCAACCACTACTCCTCTGTCAAGGAGCTCTGATAGTGTAGTGGTTATGAGTCAGGCTGCTAACCTCAAGGTCAGCAGCTGAAAATTACCAGCTGTCCCACAGGAGACGAGGCTTTCTGCTCCTGAAAAGATTTATAGCCTTGGCAACCCTGTATTGGCTTGCTATGAGGTGGAACCCCCTCCATGGAACATCATCACCTCCACCAGTTTGTCAGGTCACAGTAGCTTGTGTGTTGTTGTGATGCTGGAAGTTTTGCCTCTGGTATTTTAGATATCAGCAGGGTTCCTGTGGTGGACAGGTATACTAGGTATGCCGGGAAGCACAATTTTAAGAGTAACAGTGGGTGTCCCAGTCACAGTCAAAAAGAGAAGTACAATGACGTTTGTGATAAGACTATTCCACCATATGCCTAGAAGGAGGAGGAGTTAATACCATTACTATTCAAATTTATATATAAACCATTAAAGCCAGTGATGATGAAATTGAAAAATTCTACCAGCTTTTTTACTCTGAAATGGATAAACATGCAATTAAGATGTACTGAAATTACTGGTAATAAAATGTAAAAATTGGAAACAAAGAAGGATCAGTAGTTGGAGAACATGGCCTCGGTGATAGAAACAATGCTGGTGGTCACATGACAGAAGTTTGCAGGACCAAGGAATTATTCATTGCAAATGCCATTTTTCAACAACATAAACAATGACTATAGATGTAGATCTCAACCAGATAAAATATACAGTAATCAACTTAACTAAGAGACAATGGAGAAGCTCAATTATCAGTAGTTGAAACAATGTCAGGGGCCAACTGTGAAACAGATCATCAATTGCTCATATGCAAGTTCAGACAGAAGCAGAAGAAAACTGAAACAAGTACACTAGAGCCAAAATATGAATTTGAGTACATCCCCCCTGAATTTAGAGACCCTCTCAATAATAGATTTGATGCATCAGACAATAATGATCAAAGATTAAAGGAGTTGTGGGATGACATCAAGAACAACTTATAAGAAGAAAGCAAATGTCATTAAAAGACAGGAAAGAAAAGAAAGATCAAAATGGATGTCAAAAGACTGAATGTTTTTGAATATAGAGAAACTAAAGTGACTAGAAGAAATGATTACATAAAACAGCTCAACAGAAAATATCAAAAGACAGCTTGAGAAGACAAAGTCAAGTATTATAATGAAATGTGCAAAGACATGGAGTCAGAAAACCTAAAGGGAAGAACATGCTCAGCATTTCTCATGCTGAAAGAAATGAAGAAAAAATTCAAGCCTTGATTTGAAATATTGAAGGATTCTATGGGCAAAATATTGAATGATGCAGGAAACATCCCAAAATGGAAGAAATACAGTCACTATTCAAAAAGAATTGATGACTGTTCAATCACTTCAAGAACTACCATGATCAAGAACCAATGTATTGAAGGAAAAAATCCAACCGACACCAGCGGCACTGACAAATAAACAAGGCTCCAGAAATGGACAGAATACCAATTAAAATGGTTCAACAAGCTGATGAAGTGCTGGAAGAAATCATTTGTCTATGCCAAAAAATTTGGAAGACAGTTACCTAGCCAACAGATTGGAAGAGATCCATATCTGTACCCATTCCAAAGCAAGGTGACCACTGGAATACTGAATCATCTAACAATATCATTAATATCACATGCAAGTAAAATTTTGCTGAGGATAATTCAAAAACAGTTGCAGCAGTACATCAACAGGGAGTTTGAGAGACATTAAAGCCGGATGCAGAAGGGGTCCTGGAACTAGGAATTTCATTGCTGACGTAAAAATGAATCTTGGCTGAAGGCAGAGAGTATCAGAAACTGTTTACTTATGCTTTATTGACGTGGATCATAACAACTATCAATAACATGGTGATGTATAGGAATTACAGAACACTGAACCTGTACATAGATGAAGAAGCAGTCATTAGAACAGAGAAAGGTGATACTGAATGGTTCATAATGAGGAAGAGTGTGCATCAGAGTTGAATCCTTTCACCATTACTTATTCAGTCTGGATGCAATAATCCAATCCAAATGTGAGCAAATGATCCAAGAAGCTGGATTATATGAAGAACATGGCACTAACATTGGAAAAAGACTCATTAACAACTTGTGATATGCAACTGACGTAACCTCCTTGCTTGGAGGTGAAGAGGACTTGAAATACTTACTAAAGAAGATCAGAGATTGTATAGATTGTTATCTTAATGTAAAGAAAACAAAAATCTTCACTACAGGGCCAGGACCAATAAACAACATCATGATAAGCAGAAGTCAAGAAATCACAGAATGTATTGAATTAGGCAAATCTGCTATACAAGAACTTTTTACAGTGTTCAAGAACAAATATGTCACTTTGAGAACTAAGGTGCCCCTGATCCAAGTCAGGCTGTTGGGCAACGAATAAGGAAGATTTTAAGAAGAATTGATGTATTTGAATGATGGTGTTGTATAAAAATAATGAAAGTACCATGGACTGCCAGAATAAACAAATCTGTCTTGAAAGAAGTACAGCCAGAATCTCTCTTAGAAGCTAGGATGGTGAGATTTCATCTTTTGCACTTTGGACATGTTGTCAAGAAGGATCAGGTCCCAGAGAAGAGCATCATGCTTGGAAAAGTGGCGAATCAAAGAAAAAGAGGAAGAACCCAAAGAGATGGACTGGCGAAGTAGGAGCAGCACTGGACAAAAAAATAACAACTGTGAGGATGGTACAGGACTAGGAAGTGTTTCATTCTGTTGTGCCTATGGTTGCTGTGAGTCAGAACCAACCCTAAGGCACCTAACAACAAAATAGAGACATATGGTGTACATAAGAGGACTCAGAAGGAAAGGGGCACACAAACAGCAACAAATATATTACCAAAATTTTGAATTCTAAAAGAAAGTAGGCTTCCCCTGAAAATGGCTGGTAATGCTGAGGCACAGAAATTTCAAGATAGCATATAAAACAAGCACAGACTAAGTCTTAGAAATCCAGACAGCAGCTGAAGTGCTAGAATTTGTTCAAAAGCAAGGGAGAAGAAAAGAAGGGTTTTGCACAAAAGCTGGGAGACCCTGCCTGCTAACTATCAAGATTGTTCACTTAGTGCAATCACTTTGGGATGAGGTTGGGTTACACATCAGACAAGGAACCCAGAAAAAGAGCCAATCTGGGGAAACTAACCCAATTGTTTTGAAATTCATGGAATTTGTAGGCAGCACAACTGGGAGAGGGTTAAGGGAAACTGTGGTGTTATGACAGAGTGCTAATGAATTTCACTGAGGCCCAAGATGGATGAGCACTAAGACCTTGAGGAATAAGAAGGGCAGCAGGGTGCGGAGAATAGTTCTGTCAGGGAGACACAGAAGGACATCAAGTGCAAGGCTGGATAAGGATAACCATGAGGAAAAGATATGGGTCTTCTATTTTTGCTACAAGGAAACCGAGCCCCACCTCTTATGCCAGCATCTGCGAACAGCTAACCCCTTCTTCTAAAAGATCAAGCATCCAGAACTCCTGAATCTGCTCTGAATAAAACCTAAGTCTAAGAGTGTCCACTAATGACTCTCTGGCAAAAACTCGCAGCCTACTAATGCTTGGCTGAGTCTCTCACAATGCTCTGGTTGAGGCTGAGGGGAGTGTCCCTGTGAGGTTCTTAGACCAGTGAGTCTTTGTGAAGGCAGGCCACACATCTGTTTCATGGAGCAGCTGGTAGGTGTAGGCCCTCACCTCTGAGTTGCAGCCAGGTGTCTGGCTCCTACACCTCAAGAACACCCAATCAAAAAATTTCCAATAAAAACAAGAATACAAAATTTAAATAAAAAAGAGCAAAGACAACAAAATGGTGTAAGTTCAACAAAAAATAGTAAATCACAAAACAGTACCAGTCAAAATCAAAACATAAATAAGAGAAATTTTTTCCTATAAAGGCCAGAATGATGCAAAGAATTGATAGTTTTCAGACTATGGTCCCAAATACGTTTAAAGAAAGCAAAAGTATGACAAAACCTTACTAGTGGAAAGAGTGCAGGAAACAAATGGAGGAATAAAGTGAGAGATTCAACATGGAAATAAAAATCACTAAAAACAAAATAACAACAACAAGAACTATTGGAAGTTAAGAATAAATAAAGTTAATTTGAAAAAGCAAGAGAAATAGTCAACAGTAAGGAAGATAGATTAAATGAACTAAAAGAATAAATAACTCAATTTATCAAGTCTGAGTAAAAACATAAAAAAAGAACAAA